CTGCTGTCGTTGAAGTCAGCGATTCGGTTGTTGACGTGGGCTCTGTCGTCGTCCAAGGCTCTGTTGTATTAATCGTCGTATACGCTGCTGTCGTTGAAGTCAGCGATTCGGTTGTTGACGTGGGCTCTGTCGTCGTCCAAGGCTCTGTTGTATTAATCGTCGTATACGCTGCTGTCGTTGAAGTCAGCGATTCGGTTGTTGACGTGGGCTCTGTCGTCGTCCAAGGCTCTGTTGTAGTAGACGTCGTATACGCTGCTGTCGTTGAAGTCAGCGATTCGGTTGTTGACGTGGGCTCTGTCGTCGTCCAAGGCTCTGTTGTAGTAGACGTCGTATACGCTGCTGTCGTTGAAGTCAGCGATTCGGTTGTTGACGTGGGCTCTGTCGTCGTCCAAGGCTGTTGCAGTAGACGTCGTATACGCTGTTGTCGTTGAATTCAGCGATTTAGTTGTCGACGTGTGCGCTGTTGTTGTTGAAGTCGGCGGTTCAGATGTCAATGGTCGTTCCGTGTTCGTCCACATTGGTGACGTTATCGCAGCAGAGGTCGTAGATATTCTTTTCGTTGAGGTATTTAGTTCGGTTGTTGAAGCGTTGAGTGGTGATGTTGTAGAGATTTTCACTTTTATTGTGCTTGTCATTGTGGAAGACGTGGATGAGCGTTGAGTATTTGAGGAAGTTTCATGTGTCGCTATCGAAGCCGGTGTTGTTGTTATTGGAGTAGGTATTGTGGCGGCGCTCGCCGGAAATGCGGTCCTTGGTGAAGGTATGGCTGTGGTGTGAGTAGCAGTTGTGGTTGCATTACTTGAAGCAGTGGTATACAATCCCTGTGTTGTGTTTCCTGAAAGTCCAATGGCTAATGAAGGTGTTCTGTAAGTTAATGGACCGGTTCTATTCATTTTGGTGGTCTGCTAGAGTATTCTGGAAGTGTTGAAGGTTAATGGAATGGTAAAGCTACTAATAAAAGGGCGCTTACAACGTCGGGTACGCCCAGTCGTTTGAGATTTCATTTGGTTATACTCGTTTGTTTCGAAATACATGCTCACTATTTTTCTACTTTTTGTTGGTTCTCTCGTGTTGGAAACGGTTCTTTATTGTGTTAAGGATTCCATGGGCGGATACAGGAGACGAAGATGGCGACGAGGGCAGGAAGGATTCGAGTGGCGGCGATAGTTCGAAAGCGGCGGAGACGTCAGTATGCCGGTTGGAAGATGGCTAGAGGAGGCCTCACCTACTCACCGACTCCATACGACTAAATGTCTGAAGAGGCACGAGCTATTCCTCGCCTCGCCTACTGTATTACTCTGTTCTGCCGATATATATATATAGTATATAAGTATCCTACTATATATATAGCGGCTAGCGTGTGTCTGTTGGTGTGTGTGTGTTTGACCGGAAATTCATAGCTCGAGTCACAGTAACGATAGCGCAGTGGTTCTTACATATGTTATAGGGGGTGGGATGGGGACACAAGTGGTACGTGATAGGAACTGATAACGACTGATAATAGCTGATAAGAGGGGCTAGAAAGCGAGCATCGCCAATTTCGTTTTGTCGTTCATATTGGTACTAGAGCGTCTATACTTACAAGTGTTATGTGGGGCGGTCCCGGGACATTGGTGGTACATGATGGAAGCGATAAAAGGATAAAGGATAAAGCATTTGCCGTTGATCAATCCCTTTTTGGGATGCGGCACGCATTCTACTTCCATTTGTACATTCGTAGTGGCGTTTGAATGCGATGTGGCCTATACAATGACTTGCGGGGGCCAGCCGATGTACAAGTCAGTGTTTTTATCCTCCCAGACAAGTCTGGTACCAATTAACCGACCCCGGGGATGGAAGGCTTGGAAGGCTTGGTTGGCCCGGGCGACTCACGACCCAGGATTTGATCCCCGGACCGCTCGCGTGGTAAGCGCGCCACTTGTCACTACACCACTTCCGCCCTCGATAGTAACTGATAATGGCTGATAAGATGCGCTAGAACGCAAAAGTCGTCGATTCCGTTGCCTGGCTCGCGTTGACACCAGAGCAACCATACTTACAAGTGTTATGTGGGGTGGGACGGGGACATTGTTGGTGGGTGCCAGAAACTGATAACGATTGATAAGGGCGATAAGGCGCGCCAGAACGCTGAAGTCGTCGATTCCGTTGCCTGGCTCGCGTTGACACCAGAGCAACCATACTTACAAGTGTTATGTGGGGTGGGACGGGGACATTGTTGGTGGGTGCCAGAAACTGATAACGATTGATAAGGGCCGATAAGGCGCGCCAGAACGCTGAAGTCGTCGATTCCGTTACCTGGCTCGCGTTGACACCAGAGCAACCATACTTACAAGTGTTATGTGGGGTGGGACGGGGACATTGTTGGTGGGTGCCAGAAACTGATAACGATTGATAAGGGCGATAAGGCGCGCCAGAACGCTGAAGTCGTCGATTCCGTTACCTGGCTCGCGTTGACACCAGAGCAACCATACTTACAAGTGTTATGTGGGGTGGGCCGGGGACATTGTTGGTGGGTGCCAGAAACTGATAACGATTGATAAGGGCGATAAGGCGCGCCAGAACGCTGAAGTCGTCGATTCCGTTGCCTGGCTCGCGTTGACACCAGAGCAACCATACTTACAAGTGTTATGTGGGGTGGGCCGGGGACATT